GGGAGGGCACAGATTTACCCTAGGGGGAAAATCTCGGGAGCCATTTTTGTCTGAACTTTAAGAACGAAAAAAAAGATTGAAATCTGGAATCTGATCATCAACCCCAACAAAGTATTTCACTTTCAACTCGCCACCGGTAAGACCACACATGCAATTTGATCGTATTTCAAATGTCAATGTGATTCCTCCGGAGTTCATTCACAGCTGTTTTTCGACGAACAACTTGAACAACCATGCCCTAAACGTAAGGCAAGGACGGCTGTACCTCGATCGCGCTATCTGGGAAAATGAGAACTTTCATGTTCAACCATTGTTGTGGTTTTGTGGAGATGTTTAGGTTGCGGATAGAACAGCACGAGAAAAAGGTAGACGATAGTAACGCTACATACACGAATGAAATTGTCAGCAGAGCTGGATTTGCTCTCCTGAAATCAGTTACTATTAGAGTTATAGTCAAATCCATACCTTGGCACCGGTGGAGCCAGTGCTGGTGCTGAATCATCGTACGAGGTACCAGTAATGCTTTGAAGATGAGTATCCGTGTTGTAGGGGTCTGCCTAAAAACGTAGCAAATAAGGTCTCTTTCAACCGCATGTCAGGCCTTTCCCAGAAATGGCTCACCGAGGTTGCGCTATATGTCGGCGTCAACGTCGGATACTCACCACCTGCTTGGGTACTGAAATCTATCACATTAAGTTATGAAAGTTAGTAAATTGGTGAATAATCGCCTTGTTCTTGCTTATGTTACCTTTCTTGATAGGAATCTGACGTGGAGGCTGGCTGGGCAGGTTCAGTCGGCTGGACAGAAGTCGTATAGGTGCTTCCTTCTCGAGGACCGATATAAGTAGTCGTAGGAGCCGGTACTGCTGTGCGATAGACAGGTTGCACGGCTTCGTAGGTAGATTTTGCCGTTTCATAAGTAGCAGTGTAGACGGGGCTGACCGTCTGATAGGAAGGTTGGTAGCTGACGGCTGGAGTCTCATACGAATATGTCTGAAAGGGCATTGAGCGATTATGTTCGCTTTTTAGTGTTCGGAAAAGAAAACAGCGCATGAGAAGAAACCTGACAAACGCGCTAGTTGTGGGCGGGACTTGTGAGGTGGGTGGTATTTTGAATTTCGCCTCTGTCGACCCTCATTGAAGGTAATTAATCAATAATCAACAATTTGGTAAGACTTTTTATTTATTTATTTATTGAAAGCGTAGACAAGTCTACGCGAGGTAAGCAGCCAAAAACGCATATAAAACCAAGTTGACAAAGGCGCACAATAAAATGACATAATACCTGTGCGCAGCAGAATAGAACAAAAGAAAAAATAAAAGAACATCAACAACACATCTCAAAGAAGATGAAAGTAAGAGACCCCTGTAAGAATTAATATAAGAAAACATAATACTAAGCTGCAGAGGCCAGCCTTTTGAATTGGCTAAGAGAGAGAGCAAGCGTATTACGACAAAACAATTTGTTGAAACGACTCAGAGTCCTAATAGGAAAACCATTGAACCTGACCTGAGTTCTAGAAATCGGGGTTCTGAGCTCGATA